CGGCATGAGGTGACCATGCAGTCCCAGACAACGTGGTACACAGTTTTTGAACCACTTTGAAATACGCCAGGAGAGCTCTTTTTGGAGGGAAGGTGCCTGAGACTAAGGGGAACAAACACTACCTAAGAGCCAGGTGGAGCACCCCGTATTGCGGAAGCAGGAGTTCCCAAAAGTTGACCAGCAAAAGCACCAAACGCCTTTGGGCATAGGACCACGCGTGCAGCCGGTCAGGACTTTAACACTGTGACATTTCCCCTACACTGCATGGATCTGAGAGCTATTTGGAGACTGTGGGTGCTCAGATCAGGGCTATTTATTGATGTATTTTTTTGTTGGGTTATTTTATGTTTTTATTATGTTTTGAGGTATTTTTATGTTTGCCTATCTGTTCTTGGGGGATAATTAGCTTACTGGTCTTTAACGGAATTATCTCCCAGGCCCAGAGATTCCTGGGAGTGGCTTGTGGTGAAGATAATGGGACTACTGGGGCAGAAGTGCTGAGGTTTTCCCTTGTTCCAGCTAGGAAGTGGCCCCTGGCAGAGGTACCCAGCCGGGGTACAGGGAACTCCACCACAAAAGGCATCTCACATCAATTCTAGTATTTTTTTTAAAGGTCATTAATTAAGATTAAATTACATCACTTTAATTAAAAGCAGTAAGTAGCTCTAGAGCTGCTAACTTAAAAAACAAACAAAACAAAACTTCCATTGCTTTGCTTGGTTAATGCAGAGGATCATGGTACATGTCATTCTCCATTCTGCCAGTTAGCCTGCCCTAGCTTGGTGAACTCGGTTGCTAGTACATTGAGATGTATTATTATTCCTTACCAACTACCTACCCTTAAAACTATTAAGTCTAGTCACATTTGTTGCATACCCTTAATCCAGACAATAAACCAATGGCAGCCTAGCTAATGTCGTTTTTTTTGTTTTGTTAGGACTCAGTGTGTTTATAGTAAAATGTTAGATCAGAATAAATGTACCATAATTTACACAAACCAGCATGTTAAATTGTAACTAACCTCAACTATTATCTTATCTATTCAACCTTGAGAGAGTTGTGTATGTGAGATTGACAGACTTCCTCAAATCCAACTTTTTGCATTACCCGCTTCAGTCTGGATTCCATGCTTGTCACTCTGTTGAAACAGCTGTGACCAAAGCATCCAACGATTTAATCGCTGCTAAATCTTGTGGCCATTACTCTATCCTAATTCTCCTTAATCTTACTACTGCCTTTGACACAGTTGATCATCAACAGCTTCTTCTAATTCCCCGTAATCTCGGTCTATGAGATACTGCTCTCTCCTGGTGCTCCTCCTACCTCTCCCAGCACTTTTTCAGTGTTTCTTTCTCTGGCTCTGCTTCTTCTCCCCAAACCATCTCTGTTGGCGTTCCCAAAGGTTCTGTCCTTGGTCCCCTATTGTTCTCAGTCTACACTGCCTCCCTTGGTAAACTCGTCAGGTACTTTGGCTTCCATTATCATTTATATGCAGATGACACACAAATCTACCTGCCCTCTCCTGATCCCTCTCCGCCCATCTTGACTCGTGTCTCTGACTGAAATGTCCAACTGGATGGCTGCTCACTTCCTTAAACTAAATCTGCCCAAAAAAGAACTTCTGGTCTTTCCTCCCTCAAGTGTTGCTACTCCCGTGTATGTCTCCCTCCAAGTCAACAGCGCCACCATCACCTCTACCTCGCAGGCTCGCTGCCTAGGTGTTCTCTTTGACTCTGACGTTTCCTTCACCCCTCATGTCCAGTCGATCGCCAAATCCTGCCACTTCCTCTCAAAAACATAGCTCACATCCACCCCTATTTAACACCAGACGCGGCTAAGGTGCTGGTCCATGCCGTTGTTTTTTCTTGCCTTGACTACTGCAATCCCCTTCTCAGTGGTCTTACGTGTTCCCAGATTGCACTGCTGCAATCTATAATGAATGTGGCGGCAAGGCTCATTTTCCTGTCTGCTCCCACCTCTGTCAGTCCCCACATTGGCTTTCAGTTAGATATAGGGGTCAATTTAAGATTCTGATGCTTGCTTACAAGTCCCTACATAATGCTGCTCCAACCTACCTATCCTCCCTAATACACAAGTATGTACCGTCGAGGCCCCTGCGCTCTCCCGAAGACCTATGTCTATCCTCTGTCCGTACTCCCACATCTGATGCTTGCCTCCAAGACTTCTCCAGGGCTGCACCTTTTCTGTGGAACTCCCTTCCCTTCTCCGTTAGACTTTCACCTAGTCTCCACCCCTTTAAAAAAATCTTTGAAACCACACTTATTCAGGAAAGCCCCTCTGTTCCTGTGTGTCCATTTGTCAGGTAAAAATTACGTGTCTGTTAGTCCACCCATTGTACAGAGCTATGGAATTTGCTGGCGCTATACAAATTATAAAAACCTATACCTAATTTTTTTGTATAGGATTTGAAAATCTTGAGAAATAAAGATTGTCAAAAAATGTTATATTAAGGTGGTTAACCTACTGGCTTGACTACTGTTTTTGCTTGGTATACCAAAATTGTCTGCAACTAGTTGTCTCAAGTTATGCTGTGACCTGAAACTGTCCAAAATAAAATTTGGCACATACTTCCACATTTAAGTCTTCTTCTACCGGCACATACATCCACATTTAGGTCTTCTTCAAAGAAAGTCAAAATCTAAACCAAGATGGCGACCACAAGCCTATTTTCTTAAGGGTGTTTTAAAATTGTGTAAATATGCATATATATATAGATATTACCATTGAAGTATGTAACATTTCAAACATGTGAAATCTGTGTATATACTGTGCTCATGTTCTTGTGAATGGCCTCCAAGATTATATGGTCTGGCAGCTATTTTGTTGTAGCCATCAGTTTTGTGCCATGTAAAAAGTCTTCTTCACAGAGAACTATGCATGCAAGAACTGCAACTTTATGTATAAAGTTATATTGTTGATTACTTCACAGCCATATTGGACTGAACAAAATTCTCCAATCAACTTCATCTTTGAAACTGACAGAACAATGTAAAATTTGTCCACAACTAGATCGCCTATAATGGTTGATCAAAGAAATTAATGTATTAATTACCTTCAAGGTATTCTTAAATTGCACAGATTTGTATTTATTTCACTATTGAGCTCTGTTACAATTTGCTGAAGAGATACTCTAAGCCTGGTGTGGTCAAATGGTTCATCGCAAGTTACCAGTTGATCTCACACAGCTGCCTAGTAGATTGTGAATTGGTAGCAGTGACTGAATGGCAGTCGCGATATATACTCCTGGCGTTATCCTTATTATGTATTGCAGCCTGTCTGATCCTGACTAGTAAGCGGAAGGGTTAAGGAATAGATGGTGGGACAGTTTTTGCTATCTGAGAGGAAAGAAGGTCACTACAATGTTATGCGAGTGTACTGTATGGAGACTTAAAACAGCAATGGACGGTTTGTGCAGTCTGCTAATGGACACATACTGCTTCTTCTTCTGGGCTTGGTAAAGTGGGGAGTGTCAGCATTTTGTTAATACCAGTTTAGCATATGGGGCCAGGCACCAACCCACATCAAATTAGCCTGCTCTTTACCTTCACAGTTAGAAAACCACTTACTACAATTTGCTGCAGCATCCCCTGTAATCCAATAACTCACATTCTCTTTCAACTGCCTATTCCACCCCAACTCCCACCTAATTATTCCCAACTCAATATTCTGTCACTGATCTTTCTACGCCACCTCCAAGTATCCTGCCACTGTGTACTCCATACCAACTCCTTGTATTAAGTGACTTTGGCTGAAAGGATTTATGCACTGTGAAATATGTTGGTGCTTTATAAATGCAGCTAAAATTATAAATATATCATTTATACTAGAAGCTGTCATTTTATACTATAATGCTACTTCAATCCCAGACCTTATGGTCTTGTAAATATATTGGTTTAAATGACCCAAATATTTTTTATAAAACTGCAAATCTTTGTAATTTACGTCTCTATATGCAGTATTTAAGCATCCCTTCTCTGATGTTTAAAAAATATTTCAGTGTAATTTTGAAATGATAAATTAAAAATACAACAAAAAGCTTTAACCCCTTCCTGACCTCGGACGTACCTGGAACATTAAATGGTCGTTAAGTACCTGGTACGTCCGATAGTAAATCACCACTTACCTGATCGCTGGCGATCGCGATCCTGGGGTCTGCCTGGGAGCTCAGGCAGATCCCCACTGCCCGATCCAGCCCTCCCGTGCCACCATGTGATCAAGGGGTCCTCGCGACCACATGGCCGGAATAGCCGGCTTGTGCAGTGCCTGCAGTGGGACTGCCTGAGCTCTCAGGCAGTCCCCCTAAGGCCTGCAGAAAAGTTTAACAAAGTTGTTAAAAAAGTAAATAAAAGTACTTGGAGAAATTCCTGCACTCCAACTAAAAATGATACCACCTGGTGCTCTGGTAGCCAAACAATATATCAACAGAAATACCGTCACTCCAAGGATTGTCAAATAAATTTCTTCTTTTATTCCAAAGTTGTCATCAAGCTTTCACCAGGATACACATACATAAATCATTATTAAAAGTGTATTTTAATATATATATATATATATAATCCAAGTACTTTTAAATACACATTCATAAATCATTATTAAAATTATGTTTTAATATATATATATATATATATATATATATATATAATACACAAGATCCAGCGCACTCACCTATCCACTAAACAGCAACTTCAATGTTGAAAGATTTTATTTGTTTTTTTAAACACCTAATCTAGGCAAAAATAATGGGGGTTTAGTTACATTATATGATCATACATTGCATAAGCCTGCCACAACGTCAATGTACCCCATCTTTGGCAGGATCTACACTAACAGCCTAATGTCTGCTCTTATGAGATTAACCTACTTGGGGATATATTATATATATATATATATATATATATATATATAGTAACAAACCACCTCTTTTACAGTTAGGATTGTCACAGATCTTGCAGTAACCACAGCCTTCTAGGGTATACAAAGTCCAGGACACATTCAGCTCGGTTTTCCTTTTTTATTTAATAAGAAAGCAGGTGCTTTAAATAATAACAAACAAACAAAATTCCTTGCTCTTACTAGACAGAAATCACTATCTGTAATTGGGTGGCTTTCCCACTTACCAATTTCCCCCCCCAAAAAAATGGATTTGCAAAAAACACAATTGTTATCTTTCCTAGCTCACTTTTTCTCCCTCACTTTGCAGCAGGCTGCTCTCTTCTTTTAAAGGCCTGTCTGCTAATTGACTAGCTACAGGTGAGTGCCAATTAGTAAACTCTTAAAGGACCACTATAGTGCCAGGAAAACATACTCGTTTTCCTGGCACTATAGTGCCCTGAGGGTGCCCCCACCCTCAGGGACCCCCTCCCGCCCGGCTCTGGAAAGGGGTAAAAATGTACCTTTTTCCAGCGCTGGGCGGAGAGCTCTCCTCCTCCGTTCCGCCCCCTCCGTTCTCCTCCTCCGTTCCGCCCCGAGCTGCGCGCGCATTCAGCCGGTCTCATAGGAAAGCATTTACAATGCTTTCCTATGGACGCTTGCGTGCTCTCACTGTGAAAATCACAGTGAGAATCACGCAAGTGTCTCTAGCGGCTGTCAGTGAGACAGCCACTAGAGGATTAGGGGGAAGGCTTAACCCATTAATAAACATAGCAGTTTCTCTGAAACTGCTATGTTTATAAAAAAATGGGTTAACCCTAGAAGGACCTGACACCCAGACCACTTCATTAAGCTGAAGTGGTCTGGGTGCGTAGAGTGGTCCTTTAAGTCAGATCCAAATTCTGGTCTGTTACACAGCAACTAGTGCTGTTGGAGCATTGGCCCACCCTGCTCTCCAAATACTCCACCCCAGGGACCCATACCATGTTTTGCAGGGCATCTGCAATGTATATTGCAAACTTTAACATCTCTCCCTGGACATACCCTATTTTGAATACCTTGGGTTGTCTACTTTTACAAATGGTATGCCATGATAGGGTTAATTTTCATTCCTGGGCTTCTATACGGTCTCAAAGGCAACATAGGCCAATGTGCAAACATGGAAAAGCACACCTAAACATGGGCGATATCACTGGAGATGTTGCTGAACACGTAGTTCTCAGTACATGTATTCCTAAATTGCTATGTGTGTATAAAAAAAAAAAAAAAATCTAACTTTTTGTTTTTGTTTTTAAATTTGGCATAGATTGATGGTAAAACGGTGTCATGAAAGTAGTCAAAATACCCCAAGTTTAATACCTTAGGTTGTCTTCTCTAAAAAAAATATGTACATGTGAATAGTTATTCAGTGATTCCTGACAGATTTCAGTGTTACAAAGTAACTTGCATTAATTAAAAAAAAAAAAAAAAAAAAAAATGGTTTGGAAATAGCAAAGTGCTACTTGTACTTATTGCCCTATAACTTGCAAAAAAACAAAGCTAAGAACATGTTAACATTGGGTATTTCTAAACTCAGGACAAAATTTATAAACTATGATGGGTGTTTTTTGGCGGTTGTAGATGCATAACAGATTTTGGGGGTCAAAGTTAGAAAAAGTGTTTAAAATTTTTTCATCATATTTTAGAATTTTTTTATAGTAAATGATACGATATGACGACAATAATTGTATCTTTAGAAAGACCATTTAATGGCGAGAAAAAACAGTATAATAATATGTGTGGGTACAGTAAATGAGTAAGATGAAAATTACAGCTAAACATTTTCACTGCAGAAATGTAAAAACAGCCCTAGTCACTAAGGGGTTAAAAATAAACGGATGATAAAAATTTACGATGTTCTCTGCTATTTTGAATATAATGCCCACATGACTTATGGTCTGGGTGCCACGTGATTAATAATGCAAGATTTAAATATTTTCATAAAATGCAAAACTTTGTAATTTACATCTATAATATGGTCTTATGCTTAGCCACCTCTATTGGTCTGCCATATGGTTTGGCAGTATTTCAAAATTGGCACACGTTTAAACTTAACTACTCCAATAACCACAAAACGCAGACTGCATTTCAAAACCTTTTTTAAAATTTGTTCAGTGATAATGCCTACAGTGTGCGTTACCATCTTCGATATAAAACACATAGGTTGTTATGTGGTATAATGGTCATATTGGATGACGATCAATTTTGAGAATTCTTCAAATAAGTTAAGAAAATTTAATTCTTTGCTATTTGACTCTCCAACTGCCTTATCTTCTCATATGCTTTACCCAGGTTCTTTTTCTTGACAATCTTAATTTCTGATTGCAGCAATATTTTACAAGGGTTAACTAAAATTGTAAAAACATTTAAAAAAAAAACAACAACTCTGTATCGTGTTGATACAGAGTTATTTTTTAATATCTGGTTTATGGTTTGGTTATGCTTGTGCAAGATACTACATTATAATTGTTTTTATACATGCTAAACATATCAGTGCATAGCTGTTTTATTTATATTTTAATACATTTCAGACTAAAAATGTATGTCTTTATTAATATTGTACATACCTGCACAAGAATGAAATGTCAAGTATTTTATTATATTTTTTATCTGCACAATTAAGGTTAATTTACTATACTCAAAATTGTAGAAAACTGAATTGCAAAATTTAAGCACAAAGTACTTGGTTTTGGATTTTAGTTTAGAGTTGGATTATTTTGCAATCCATTTGTAATTCACATTTCAAATCACTACAATTCAGGGTCTAGTGAATAAATCCCAACTGAGTTATGTATTATTTATTGTCTTACAAAACTGCAATATTATAACCATAAACAGTACAGTGTGAATTTCGCAAAGCTACAGACAGTGGTCAATGTATCAAAGGAAATATATACCAGCCACCTGGAGTGCAGAGGGTTGTCAAAGAATTAAAGCAGATTTTATTCTGGAAGCTCAATTCTGTTATTTTCTTATTTAGCAAACATTCATATTGTACTAAAAATACTGAAAAGTCTCAAGCTAATAACAAATTACACACATAATAGGCACATGCAATATATATACGTTTTTCTGCTTTAAGAGTCAAAACTTTAAACAAAAAAAAAAAAAATGCATTTAATGGTAGAATAAAGACAAATGTGCCCAGAATGACAGATTCTTTACAATTAGAAAAATACAATCAAATAAGTGTGTTTTCGGCTTGGAATAGTCACGAAATACCGTACATATTTTTAAAATGGATGGATTGCTACTCTTCTTTTTTCTTTCTGAAAGAAACTTTATCTTTGGTTTCCATTAGCTTTTCAGAAATTTTATCCTTTGTTTCTTCCATTTTTCCACTAATGATGTCTCTAGTTTCCTCCATTTTCTCACTGAAGCGCTCTTTTGTTTCTTCCATTTTGTCCTGTAAATAGTCTTTCACCAACGGTGGTGTAGACAAATAGCCATACTTCCGTAGATATTTAACACTAATAGATGTTCCGCCTAATGTAACAGCATATCTAGCTGGTGTTGCAATCTGCAAAAAAAAAAAAGTATAATCATAAATTACAGAATAAGCAAAATAAAATACAAGGCCAATCAAACTGTACTTTACATTCAATCACATAAATATCATTTTTGTTTCTACACATGCAATTTGTAAGTTTGTTTTTTGTAAAAAAAAAAAATTCACAATCCTCTATTTCCTTTTAATAAGATGCAATGGACTGTGAAAACAAGTGTGTGTACAGATTACAACAAAAAACAAAACAAAAAACCCACCACCCAGAAAAGGATATTAACTTTGTGAAAAAGCACATGTTGGCTAGTTTTATCTGTATGGTTTTGTGGTTCTCTAAACTACCTTTCGTGGAGTGTCATAATATAAACAGGTGGCAGAACTAATGTAGAAAAGGTTCTTGCACAATTGTATTTAGCACTGAGTAGTGTTTGTATGGAAGCATATTTTTTTGGTGTGCATGTGTTTGAATGTCGAGTGTGTTTTTATGTACTGTTGCCATTGAAATCAGTGATGTACTTGTGTGTAATATTTGCCATGAAATGTAAGGGTGTCTTAGTATGTAGTGTTAGCATTTCAATGCAGGCAGTGTTTTTACATATGATATATAGACATATATACACACACAAGGTGCCCAAAAGTAGGTACACTATAATTTGTTTGCATTTTATTATATTTATATTTAACACTATTTAATCTCGTAAACACTCAAAATGTCTTCCACCAATATTGTACATGTCCGGTACACTGTGACACACAGTACGACACAAATTCAGGCACACATCAATGTCCATAAATGCTTCCGCCATTAAACTTTTAATTTGTCCATTGTTTGGTGCTTCCTCTCAAAAACCTTATCCTTTACTACATCCCAGAAGTCCGCTGGTGTTTATTCGGATGAATGTGGCAGCCATTTAATGCTGCCACGCCGTCCGATCCAATGCTTCGGGAAGGTGTTGTCAAGGTAGTCCCTTACTGCAAAAGCATGATGAGGAGGTGCCCCATCTTGTTGGAAAATCAGTTAGCACTGGTTCAGAGTTGTGGTACTACCACATTGCACAACAAGTTTAGGCAACTTTTACTATCCACAATTCTGCCTCAATATGAAACTAATCCAGAGGCCTGTCTCAATATACAGCTCCAAGCATGGACATTAGCTAAAGCAATCTCAAAGGAGGTGTACAAGCAAAGAGCTCTTACTCTAACCTTGCTTTACTCTACGCACAGAAAAACCAATTGTACAAAATAAGCCGTTTCCAAACGTTATCCCCTTTCACACAGCTCCAAATAGTTCTTTCAGTTTAGTTCAAGCTAAATTGTGGTGCTAATTGGAAAAGAGTTGGAGAGTGTGGACACTGCTTTTTTTGTTTTCTCTTTGGGTAGGGTAAAGGGAAGAGCTCTTCGATTTATATTTAAAATCACATACTTAAAGGTACCCACTATTATATTTCTGGATATTTTCCACCTGTAGCGAAGAGTGACAATTTTTCTATTTTGTTTGAACAAAATAAATAAATGAACATTGGTAAACTGACTGATGAACCCCAGAGAAATTCAAATCATGTTTTTGACTGAAAGATGCTAAGTTCTAAGCCGGGGTTCAACAAAGCTGTGATGCTGGGAGCTGGACAAATACGCAAGAGAGTAGAGCAAAAATTATTTTAAAATTGCACAATCTGCTCCAGCTTTCCTAACCCCTAATTCTTCCAAAGGTAGGTAGACAGGGTGTGTATAAATTAAATTGAATTAAAAAAAAAAAAAAAGTGTGTGTGTGAGGAGTGAGAGTGCGTGTCTGTCTGAAAGAGTGTTTGTTTAGGTTACTGGCCCCCTATGATCGGTTTTTACTCACCTTTTGTTCCCATGCCATGCGGGTCTTGCAATGGCTGGTCCTGTGTGCATGGCTAAGATAATCAATATTAAGAATCTCATCCAAGCTAAGGCTATTGTGAAGGTGTGACAAAATATACTGCAATGCACCAAATCAGCATCTCATCGTAGAGATGCACTGAATCAATGCATATCTATGGGGGAACATTCAGTACCTCCGAGAAGTTTAACGTAGGTGCTGCACACTGTGCAGCACAGGGCTAGAAATCACCTCTAGTGGCCATCTAAGTGACTGTCACTAGAGTTGTTACTAGACAGCATTGTAAACACTGCTTTTTCTCTGAAAAGACAGTGTTTACATTGAAAAGCCTGCAGGGACATGATATAGACACAAGAACCACTACATTAAAGATTTGTATTTATGCAATTAAATAGGGACAGATCCCTGTTAGATGCCCCTGAAGAAGTTCTTAATTGAACGAAACGCGTAGGGCCTTTTAGTGTACAGAGTATTTGTTTTTCATTTTATTTTTATGTATTTATGTATTTTCCATCTGGCTTTCCTGCTCCTTTGGACCTTGTGATCAAGATATGTTTGGAACTGAGTCTGATGTGCCTGTTTGATACTTCTATTTTGTAAGTGTATCTTATAATAAATTGTGTTATTTTATTAAGATACTCTGCACTATTATTTCTTTTCTTCTTCCTATGCATGTTATTGATGTTCCACAAGTCCCGAAGTTAATACATCGTTACCCTTGATATGCCTTCAATCAAATTGGGTTTGTGAGTGTGATCATTTATATTTATAACCCACATTGTGCAATATTATTGCCCTATGTCCGTCTCTATTATTTTAGTGTTGTAGATTGCCTTTTTTGGTAATTTTGTCAATATTGAAAAGCCTGCAGGGACATGATATAGACACAAGAACCACTACATTAAAGATGTGTATTTATGCAATTAAAAATTAAGCTGTTAGTTAAAAAACCAAAAAAAAAAAAAAAACATGTCTCCTAACTTTTTTAGCTAGTTCCTAGATTCCAAGCAAAACTGTCAAGCCCTAGACTAAGCAGAAAAATATTTTATGAACAAGATTTAGGCTTGCATTTAAAATGTTGGTTCCAACACAAGAATCAGGTTAAAAGGGTAGGAAATTCAAACAATCACTTTCCTGGTACAGTCTCTAAACTTTGAGGTTACATGTCAATCATATAACATTTCCCAAGAAAGCATGAAAGAGATAGAAGTCATTTTGCAGCAGATTTGCCATGAAATTCAGGATTCTATAGAAAGAAGAAAGCATGACATCTCCCCTCTTTTTTTTGTTTTTGTGCTGTACTTGACATACACAAGCTGCAGGGCCTTTCAGAATGAAGGCCTAATTATCAACACATACAGGTATCTCAAAAAACTGAAAGGACATACGTTCAGAAATCCCTTCACAGGGGGATGACTCCATATTTGCCTTCAGAGACCGATAAAAAAAATATATAAGTAATGAGATCCATTATGCAACATGTTGTCATATATTAACCATTTTGCCTTTTGTGTTGAAATTTTTTTTTTTTTTTTAAACATTTTACAAAACATTTACTGAAAAATGCCAGTACATAAATGCACATAATGGTGTATATAAAATTTTATCTATAATTATATATCTGGGCAGTTTTATAATTGAACCAAAGATGTATGTACATTCAAGTAGGGATCAACAGATATTGCTTTTTTTTAGAACCAATACCGATAATCTGTGAACTTTCAGACCGATAGTTTACCGATATTCTGTACATTTACCGTATTATTATTTATTTGCAAATCTTTTTTAAATTTTTTTATTAAAGGGCCACTATAGGCACCCAGACCACTTCAGTTCAATGAAGTGGTCTGGGTGCCAGGCCCCTCTAGTTTTAACCATGCAGCTGAAAACCTAGCAGTTTCAGAGAAACTGCTATGTTTACACTGAGGGTTAATCCAGCCTCCAGTGGCGGTCTCACTGACAGCCACTAAAGGCCGCTTCCGCGATTCTCACTGTGACAATAACAGTGAGAAGACGCTGACGTCCATAGGAAAGCATTGAGTAATGCTTTCCTAAGGGCAGGGCCAGATTAAGAGCCCAGTGGGACTGGTGCTGACAATTATGATGGGCCTAATTACAAAATCCTATTGACCAAAAACACTAAAACAGTCCTACCTCCTAAGCGTCATGTATCTGATGGAGATGGTGCTGGAGGGAAACTAATAGGACGCAGAAAATACATACCCTATGCTAATCTCATGCTTTCATCTTTCAAGTAAACCCATACCCCCTAACAGCAGTGTCCAGTAAAGCAGGAAGTCGATGGATGGGGTAAAAGGGTGGGCCACTGACACAAATCACATAACAGGAACTGCCGAAAGGAACTAACATACACAAAAAGAGGGCATGTCTGTGTCCCCATGTCTCCCAGTCCCTTAGTGTCTGTGTCCCCATGTCACTAGGGGACATTGAGAGACATTGGGACACATGGAGACACTAGGGAACACTGGGGACACCGAGACTCTTGGGGACACTGGGAGACATGGAGAAATGGGGACACTGGGTGACTTTGGGACACAGACTCTGTGATACATAGGGGACACTGGAGACTTGATAAAGACCTGGGTACAGGTCAAAACATTGCGTTGTCCAATAAACCTGCTTAAATCTATCACAGTGAGTGCCTGAAATTTTTCTTCTATACTAGGGGACACCGAGACTCTTGGGGACACTGGGAGACATGGAGAAATGGGGACACTGGGTGATTTTGGGACACTGGAGACTTGATAAAGACCTGGGTACAGGTCGAAATGTTGCAGTGTCCAATAAACCTGCTTAAATCTATCACAGAGAGTGCCTGAGATTTTTTTCTTTTGTCCTAGGGGACATTGAGACACTGGGAGGCTAGGAAAAACTGAGACACTGGCACACTATGAACACTGAGAGACACCAGGGACACTGTCTGGTAGACATTGGGACATTGTCCCCATGTGTCTTAGTGTCCCCATGTCGACCAGTGTCCCCTAGTGTCTCAGTGTCCCCATGTATTCCAGTGTCCCTCAGAGTCTTTGACCCCATGTCTCCCAGTGTCACTAGGACACTAGGGGACACAGAGACATGGGGACACAGAGACATGGGGACACAGAGACATGGGGACACTGAGACTGGGAGAGACATGGGGAATCTGGGAGAGACTAGGGACGCTGAGACATTGGGAGACATAGGGACACTGGGGAACATGGGGACATTGAGAGACATGGGGCCACTGTGTCCCTAGTGTCCCCATGTCTCAGCATCCCCAAGTCTCGCAGCTGCTGTCTGCACTCTCTGTGCAGAGCTGCTCCCCCGTGGATCAGTGAATAGAGAGAGGCAGGGAGGGAGATGCTGTAACTTCTTATCCCTGCCTCTCTCCGCACAAACAGCGACCCCTACTGGCCGGCGCTGATATTGCAGAATAATCTCTGTTTATATTGAGACAGACATTTGTATTGCCGGTATTACGGTAATACCAGCAAGGCAGCTTTAAATACCTGAGAAATACTTCTGAGAAATACCTGGCAACCATAAGAAATACATGAGAAATACCTGGAAAACCTAAGAGTAGTGTGTGTTTAAAAATAAATGAATAAATAAAAAAAAAATTAGTGTGTGTTTAACCCCTTAAGGACCAAACTTCTGGAATAAAAGGGAATCATGACATGTCACACATGTCATGTGTCCTTAAGGGGTTTAAAAAAAAATTTTTTTTTTTTTTTTCAAATCAATGAGCCTATTCCATGGGCCTGGGCCTGGGCCTGGTCCTAGAGCTGCAGCTCCATCAGCCCTTATGTTAATCCGGCCCTGCCTAAGGGAGGATTGAATGCATGCGCGGCGCTGACATCGGCAGGAGGAGGAGAGTAGGAGAAAGGCAAGTGGCTGAAGTTTTTAAGTCCCAGGCCTCATTTATACAGCCTTATGTCTATCCCGCGCAAGTCCTTTACTGTGTTAACCTCTACCACTTCAGCTAGAAGGCTATTCCATGCATCCACTACCCTCTCAATAAAGTAATACTTCCTGATATTTTCAAACCTTTGTCCCTCTAATTTAAGACTATGTCCTCTTGTTGTGGTAGTTTTTCTTTTAAATAGATAGTCTCCTCCTTTACTGTGTTGGTTCCCTTTATGTATTTAAATGTTTCTATCATATCCCCCCTGTCTCGTCTTTCCCCCAAGCTATACATGTTAAGATCCTTTAACCATTCCTTGTAAGTTTTATCCTGCAATCCATGAACCAGTTTAGTAGCCCTTCCCTGAACACTTTCTAAAGTATCAATATCCTTCTGGAGATATGGTCTCCAGTAGTGTGTACAATACTTGAAGTGAAGGGGGTCTCACCAGTGTTCTGTACAATGGTATGAGCACTTCCCTCTTTCTACTGCTAATACCTCTCCCTATACAACCAAGCATTCTGCTAGAATTTCCTGCTGCTCTATTACATTGTCTGCCTACCTTTAAGTCATCAGAAATAATCACCCATAAGTCCCTTTCCTCAGATGTTGAGGTTAGAACTATCAAATATTCTGTACTCTGCCCTTTGGTTTTTATGTCCAAGATGCATTATCTTGCACTTATCCACATTAAATCAGTTGCCACAACTCTGACCATTTTTCTAGTTTAACTAAATCATTTGCCATTTGGCTTATCCCTCCTCAAACATCAACCCTGTTACATATCTTAGTATCATCAGCAAAAAGACATACCTTACCATCAAGACCTTCTGCAATATCACTAACAAAAATATTAAAGAGAATGGGTCCAAGTACAGATTCCTGAGGTACCCCACTGGTGACAAGCCCATGCTTCGAATATTCTCCATTGACTACAATCCTCTGTTGCCTGTCACTCAGCCACTGCTTTTACCCATTCAACAATATTGGGATCAAAAATTAAAAATTGCAGTTTATTGATAAGCCTTCTATGTGCAACAGTATCAAAAGCCTTACTGAAATCTAGGTAAGCAATGTCTACTGCACCACCCTCATCTATTATTTTAGTTACCCAATCAAAAAGAATCAATAATCCTTGTTTTACTTTTCTTTTCTCATTTATGCATCTAAAAAATGTTTTGTCCCCCCCCCCTTTTTTTTTTTACTGACTGTGCTATCTTCTCTTGTATTTTGAATGTGATTTTGAATCTCTTGTAACTTGCTTAGCCTCTTTCTGCCTAATCTTATAGAGCTGTCTATCTTCCTCACTCTTTTTTTTTTTAATTACTAAATGGTAACTTAGTTTTTTACTATTTTGGCCACATCTGCGGAGTACCACAGTGGTTTCTTACATACATACAAACACGTAATTATACACACACACACACACACACAAACACATAATCACAAACTTACACACACAATCACAGACCCACAAAAGATCATACACACACACAATCACAATCACAGACCCACACACACATAAAAATCACAGAACTATACACACACACACACACACACACACACACAAAATCACATTCATACAATCAGACTAGTACTAAAGAGGTCCACCCAGCCTCCCTACCTTGCTCTGGGAGTGCTGGAATGGATCTTTTTTCCCTGGTGGCCAGTGGTTGCTACTGGGCTGGAGCATAGGACATTTGTGCTCTTCCTGCACAGGTCCCTCACGTCCAGCAGTGATGCCGTAATATCCCGGCAGCTGGCGAGGAAGCTGTGCAGGAGGAGCATAGAAGGTAAAGTGCTCCCTGCCTCCCTCTCTGCACGGCAGCGCCGGATGGCAACCAGTCCACGGGTTGGACATCCATGCTTTAAAATTTATAACCACAATGGAAACCATTGGAACGTCCTTCAACTTCCAGCCCAAAATAGTACCGGTTTTGTTTGATAATCCCCCCCACATGTTATACCAATCATTATTTTGTAACTGGTCACATGATTTTAGGATTAGGAAATTTTCACCAAAAGATAATTTTAGTTAGTTGGAATGTAGTCACCATATTTTATAAATGCCACATCTTGCTCACAACTTCAAGACTTGTTCTTATGAAACAGTTCCTATACCCCTCTAGTTTAGGGTCACTTTTACCATAACTTCTTCATTTAAAAAAATAGTTTGTTAATGAATAAAGCAGTCTGATACATAAAAACGTAGAATTACAGTACAGCATTTATACACAATCCACTAAAATATTGGACAAATTAGAGAATAAAGATATTGTTTTAAAATGCAAACTTTATCAAAACTCAAAGAATAAATTGTGACCTATTATTTAGAAGAAAGCCATTACTTTCAATAATTTTACTTTTAGCAAGTAGGGGATGTACTAAAATTAAGCACAGTAAGGTAAGCAGCTTTTATCAAGCTGTAAAGCCTGCTTACCCGTCTAGACAGTGAACAAATACAAAAACTATTTTACTGGTGATTAACTCTGTAGAAACAGTACAATGAATATACTCTATACCAAATTGTGTTATAATAACCCCTAGAGTCTGGTAATAGGACACAGAAGGGTAAATAAAACTCACTTCTTTTAATTATTATGCAGAATAAAATTTCAGCGTAAAGAGAAACCAAAGTGTTTTAACTGGGTATAATGCGCTTGGAGTCTCTTTAGCAGATTATCAGGTCTCTAAACTTCTCGAGAGGGGTAATGGCTGTCTGGGACTGGGTAATACAGCTTTGCACAGAACAAAGACAAAAAGAAAGGCAAAAGAACAGAAGTGCAGAAAATGGAAACACCAAAACGTTGAAAAAAACAACCCCACACTTCTAATCGCACAAACAATTTTAAAATATTGTTCATCCCAGTTTTTACACACTGGACACAAGTGATGTCAGTATGGTTGTACTTACACATAAGAGATTTTTTTTTTAATGAAGGTAAGGGCACTTATTATATAGTACTGGCAATTATTATATAGTACCAAAATATTTCACAGTGCATAGAATGAACATAAGGCAGCTTGTAGATTGAATGGTAGATCTTGTTAATGTGACTACTTAAAAGGTAGATGCTATGCCACTAAAGTTTAACCATACTTGGTCTAAAAGTATGCTGGTTTATAGGCATGCATTAACTATACCGAATGTGACTGGAACACTGGAACTAGAGGGTGGATAACATAAGCATTATTTTCATACACCTGTCATCATTTGTCCCTCTACACAGAATCCAGTAATGTGCAGCCACCTTTGTTTCTTAGAAGAGAATTTGAAATACAGACGGCTGCATAACTTTCATTCAATATTTATTCATTTTCAAATGTTTTGAAACTGAAGAAAAGAAAAACATACCCTAGAGGGATAGCAGGAATGTGGTGCTTAGGATTAGATTGGTTATAAATGGCTTCATAAATATTAGAGCAAAGAAAAAAAAAAAAAAAAGACAAAACTTTATTTTGTAGTCATTAAACACAGCCCTATAGTGATGTTCCCACAAGACTTCAAATACCAACACTGTAGCGCCTTAGCTTACCATTATTAAAAGTATAACAGTAGTAAAGGCTTTTCAGGAGATTAAAATAAATATTTTATTTAGAGGTCTCCACAGGTAAACTGGCCAAATGACACCCCATTTATGGAAAATAAAATGATATTACAGATTGCATGTTTTCTGTAAAAGAGTTTATCCAGATGAAGGGGCACATACTTTAAGATTAAGTGGATACTGCATGTTTTTCTATTTAACAATACTATTGTGGTTACGGCAAATACAGAAACTTCACATGCAATTATCCTTTTATCAACGCATATCACATTGTTTCAGCATATTTTCTTATCTGTGTAATGCAATAAAACTTGGGTCAGTTCAAGCTTGGAGTGTACAATCTAAACACCACAGCCACTACAGTTTGCTGTAGTGTAATAGTGCCAAGAGTTGCAGGAATTACATCCCACAAAACTGTTTGACACTTATCTGGGTCTCCCAAACACTTACCTGTAGTTTGGCATTTCTTCAGATAATGCCACAAATAAATATATATATATATATATATATATATATAAAAAACAAAATGGTGGACACAATAGCACTCCCAGACGTCATACATATGGTGAAAAAAATATAACTAAGCTTTATTCAGTGACTGCCAAAATATATCAACGTTTCAGTTCCTATGTAGAACTTTCGTCAGGATAAGGTGCATTACATAAACCAACAAATATATAACAAACAAATACAAATTAAATTAGTACATTGTATTATATACAGGTGTGACTTACCCCTCTCCCAGAGTAGTTCCCATGTTAAACGCCCAAAAAAACGCGGGTAAAAATGACCCCTGTAGAGGAGTTCAGCTGAGCTATGCTGCTGTCTTGCGTTCCAGCCTTGAACCGCAACCCGGAAGTTGATATGTTGCCATAGTAACATGCCGGTAATGTCTGGCTGGGTGGAGGGACTTACTATGAGGGAGGGGAAAACATTGGCGATCGATCTCTAAAGTGTCACCCTACAACAAATAATCATATGCAATAAAACTAGTAAGGCACTACACACACAATAGACTTGGGTGTTTGTTAAAAGGTGGAAACTGCATATTCTATGTATTATACGGAACCCAGACAAAGCTGGTGTTCGCAAATAAGTATAAAATGGGTCTAGTCCACGACCCAAAAGTCCTCTGTCTAGGTGAATAGTGTCAGAACAGTGCTAAAGATATTGCCCACATGTAAAAAAAAAAGTGGGGTATAGCAACTATCGAATTATCTTTCCAAATAAGAGGGATTTACTATGCAGGAGGCTAAATGCTCCACTTGGAATTCTGGCTAACCACTCAAAAGGTCCTATATATGAAAACAAAAATTATAAATATATATATATATATATATATATATATATATATATATATATATATATATATATATATATATATATATATATATATAGCCATGCATCCTGGGCTATATTGTCTATAATTATTAGACTGAGTGAATTGCAAAGGATATAATTCATATTGATTAAGTCCTCATGTGCATAATATACATCCACAGTTAAGGCAGACATAATCAATAAATACACAAGCCTAAAGAAACATGCTTCTAATGCTGCTGACCCACTTGTCATACTTTCGGGTTATTGTCTATATGAATTGAAAAATATATTCAACATAAAATCTGAGGTTCGAAATTCTACTTAGGGTACTAACAACCTATAGTCAGTAATCCAGACATAAGCACAATTATAATACCAAAATAGTTATCTGGTCAGAAGTACAGATTGATGTAGCGTCGAAGTTCCAAGATACTGACAATCTCAGCCTGGGATGCTATCACATCATAAGAAAACCCCCAAAGTATATTTTTCATTTAGTCCTTTAGGTTGCACTATATCTAAAGTTCTGATCCAGTATAGTTCTCTTTGTAATAAGAGCTTCTTACGATCACCTCCCCTCAAAGGTTGTGGGATGTGATCAATTGCCAAGAACTTCATTGTGGGGAGAGGATGGTTATAATCCAAAAAATGTTTAGCAACTGGTAGCTCTGAGCCTTTATCCCTGTATGCAATACGTATGCTCGATCGATGATTATGTATTCTTTCGCGTAGTGGTAACTCAGTTCTTCCCACATATGCCAGACCACACGGACACCCCAATTTATATACAACATAATCACTTGTACAGGTGAGTCTATGCCTTATTAGGTATTTCTTGCCTGTATGTGGGTGAGTAAACGATTTACTGGGAATCATATGACTGCACGTCACACAGCCCAAACATCTGTAACACCCCAAGTTATGATAGGTAATCGGTTGGCTATAGCAATGTGTGGGATCGGTTTTGACCAATAAATCCCTCAAGTTGCTACCCCTTTGATAGCACATCATCGGGCGTTGTTTGAATTGTGATGGCAAACTAGTGTCATTCTGTAACATTCTCCAGTTCCGATCAACCGATTGTTTAATGTTGTCAGATATGGTGGTATATGTTAAAGGGAATACCAATCTTTCTGTCGTATCCGTTCGTTGTACTGGTATTTCATAACACCTATCCAATGCTTTTGACAAAACTCTAGGGTTATAACCCCGTGCAAGGAATTTATCCCACATAACCTGTAGCTGAAGTTGTGTATTGGCCACATTGGAGTTGTTTCGTATTACCCTCATAAATTGTGACTGAGGGAGTGAACTAATAAGGTGTTTCGGATGGTGGCTTTCGGCGTGCAGGAGAGTGTTCCTGTCAGTTGGTTTGTTAAATAAGGTATAGGCTATTCTGCCATCCTCCTTGTACAAACGAACATCTAAAAAGTCGATCTGCTCGTCACTTGTAGTCATCGTAAGGCGAACTGGTGTGTCTAAACTATTGATGGTATCGAGCATTTGGTTTGGGGTGGGTCCTACGTTGTTCCAGATGATGATGATGATGATATCGTCGATAAAATGACGGTAAAACAATATACTATCATGAAATGGCAAAAGAATATGTACATATAGCTATTAGCATACATCGGGGCCATGGCAGCCCCCATTGAAGTTCCTGCGATTTGTTTATACCAAGTATGTTCAAATCTGAAATAATTTTGACTAAGTACCAAATGTAATAATTTCAATATATACTCAACTGGTGGGCCTGTGTAAGATGAGGATGATGTCAGGATCTTTCGCATTGCGTTAATGCCCATTTCGTGTGGGATGATCGTGTATAAGTTTTTTACATCACGTTATAAAAGTGGTTCCAGATTCCAGTGTAGTAAACTGTTGTAATAATTCAAGTAGGCTTGGAGTGTCCTTAATGCACGTGGGTAATTCCTCAATAGGTTTTTTAAACAAGTAGTCCAGCCATTTGGCTATCGGTTCAAGTGCCCCCCCTATAGCTGACACAATGGGTCTTCCTGGTGGTGATATTGGGTTTTTGTGTATTTTTGGCAACGTATAGATCACCGGTGTCCTTGGGTTCTTTTGTAATAAAAATTCATAATAATTGTTATAGTGGGATCAGTTGTAAGTTTTGTATACGTAGCCAGATCTCCCAGTTGTATCAAGATCTCCTGTCTATAGTCTGTATAATTTAAAAGGACTATTCCACCACCCTTATCCGCTGGTCGGATGATAAGGTTAGGGTCTTTGGCTAGTGAGGTTATAATCTTTTGCTCATCTTTAGTGATATTGGATTTGTGTTTTGTTGATTGATTAAGATGTAATTGAGTTTCATAGTTAAGAGATTTTAAGAACGTCTTTATAGTTGACAGGTTGGGTAATGGATCCCAGGTGCTCTTGCGTTTGAATCTATTGGTGGAAAGACTTTGTGTTTTCTGAGAATTAAAGAATTCTTTCAATCTTAATGTTCTCCCAAACTTATAAATTTCCACTTCCTGTGTGAGTGGATTCGGGTATGTAGTAGGTACAAAGGATAGGCCTTTCATCAATAACTTGTTTTCTGCAGTAGTCAGTTGGCGTGCGGATAGGTTGAAGATTGGTACTATCTCGTACGTACGTACATACATACATACATACATACATATATATATATATATCACCAACAGAAAAAAAAAAATACAAAGATGCTTTCCCACAGATTAAGATATGTATATGTGTGTGTATATAACATTTATTATGATTTTAATTTATACTCTACAAAATTAGACTTTTTTTTATTTAAAGGACCACTATAGGCACCCAGACCACTTCAACTCAATGAAGTGGTCTGGGTGCCAGGTCCATCTAGGATTAACCCTGCCTGCTGTAAACATAAACAACTGCTATGTTTACATATGGGTTAATCCAGCCTCTAGCGGCTGTCTTATTGACAGCCGCTACTTACTTTGATTTTCACAGTGAGAAGACGCCAGCGTCCATAAGAAAGCATTGAGAATGCTTTCCTATGGACTGGCTGTATGCGCGCGCGGTTCTTACTGCGCATGCGCATTCTGCCGATGACGGCCAAAGGAGGAGGAGAGTGCCCAGCGCAGAGGGAGCCCGGCGCGGGAGAAAGGTTTATCCCCCTTCCTCTCCATTCAGCCCGGCGGGAGGGGGACGCTGAGGGTGGGGGCACCCTCAGGGCACTATAGTGCCAGGAAAACTATAGTGCCAGGAGTGGTCCTTTAAAGACTATAAGTGCAGCTATCTAGGTGGATAGAGATATAGAGATATATATATATATATATATATATATATATATATATATATATATATATATATATATATATATATATATATATATATATATATTAAATAAAATAAATACAAAAATTTTTTTTTTTTTTTAAATGGGAAAACAGAATAAAATCTAGAAAAAAAAGAAAAACTGAAAGCTCCCCTTCTTCATTATATATGTACATTCCATCCTTTGCGGATTTATCGTGATACAGCACCAAGGTAATCTTGGCACCATAGTTCTACAGTGGCTATGGTGCTTACAGTACCACTTCAAAGTTGATGAGTCTTCAACATATAAACATATGGATTCTATCGGTATGGGCTTTAGCACTCTGTTATTGGAAGAGCAATAAAAAGTAAAGTGTAATAAAAACATACAAAAAAACCCCAACAAAACAACACAACACATAAATCAACTTCCTATATTACATTAGACACTTTCAAATACACTCTTCTCAATCTATGGTTATCTACTGAAAACTAAATTGCCAACAATGTAGGCTAGAAATGGCTGATTAAGAATATGGCCTTAATTTTATAAATTTAGATAAACTCTTAAAATAGTTTTTTCAAAATATTAAAATATGAAGTCATTTTAAAAGTGTATTCAAAATATTAAAAGAACAGTATAGGGTCAAGAATACAAACATGTATTCATGACCATATAGTGTAAAAAACACTATCTAGCCCCCCTCACCCTAAATATAGTAAAATCTTACTATTCCAGTCTACTGGTGCTGACTTTGCCCCTGCTCTGTCTCCTTGGCTGACATCATCAGAAGTGATTATCTCAGCCATTCACAATGCTTCCCCATAGGAAAGCATTGAATTGGCTGAGATGGTCAATTTTGATGATCTCAGCCAAGGAGGCGGGCTGGGGAGGGAGCCAAAAGCAACCCTGGCCAAATAGCACCTCCTCATAGAGATGCATTAAATCAATGTATCTATATGAAGAAAGTTCAGTGTCCATGTAGAGGGTGGAAACACTGAATGTCAGTGCTGCACACCGTGCACTGCCCCAGGAACCAGCACACACAATAAGCAAAAAGCCACACAATAAGCTGTAATTGTTCAGGTGACTCTAGTTTCTCTTTAAATCATTTGAAAGTCTTATACAATTTTTTTTTTAAATGAGGCCAGTTATTAGTATAATACACTAAATTAAAAAAAAAAGAATAAAAACAAATCAACATTCTAAAAAGTATAATTATTTACCTTGTACAAGGCGTAAGCTGTAAGTGCATTCCCTCCTTGAGAATTCTTCAGAATGTTTACGATGACATCAGGGAGGCCAATGAGTTCCAGAAAAGGAACCACGTTAACTCCTCTTAAAGATAGAAAAGAAATGAAAGATAAATAATAATTATATTCTTCTATTACATTCACAATAATACATTCTAATGTATAATAATGTAACAAAAGTGAACTCTCCCCCACTAAATGAATAAAAAATAGTCAAGACCAAAACGTTTTTTTAACAGATTATATACTATTCATAACTATCTCACTATATGGTACTGCAGAATGTGTTGGCTATTTTTAAATAGCCAAAATACATTTAGAATTGTATAGTTTATAGAAACAAGTAGAGATAGAGTGCCCTCTGCTGTAAGCATTTATCACATCAGTGTGTGTTTCAATCATGTGTTGCTGACATAAAAAAAACAAAAAACTAAACTAAACACACAACAAACCAAAACACACCAATATGAGAAAAGTGAATGTCGTTACAAATTACTGTGAAACAGCGTTCATTTTACAAATTGATTGGATGTTACCATAGTATATAGCAGGTTAGTACACATACACAGTATCTTAGTATTCAGTAACAAATTGTTATCCTTTAGAGCGACAAGCTTTCTGAACTACTCTTAAGGCAAACAGTACATTTTCAGCTTGAAAAAGGAAGGTCCTTTTCAAAAGCTTGTCACTGTAAAACATTGTTTGTCACTACCTGATGCTGAAATATTCTGAAAATAATCTCTGGGTTATTATTTAAAGTGAGAATTGCTGGTGATTCAGAGTTCAAAATTAAAGGGACACTATAGTCACCCAGACCACTTCAGCTCAATGACAGCCGCTAGAGGCGCTTCTGTGATGCTGGATGCGACGGTTTAAGTCCGCATGCGGCTCCTGCCGCACATGCGCATTCAGCTCCACTCGGAAGCTGGCGTCGGCGGGGGAGGAGAGGTCACCAGCGCCGAGGGAGCCCGGTGCTGGATTAAAGTAAGTGGCTGAAGGGTTTTTAACCCCTTCAGCACAGTGGGAGGGGGAGGGACCTAAGGATTTTATAGTGTCAGGAAACCAAGTTTGTTTTTCTGACACTATAGTGATCCTTTAAAGCGGCACTGTCATGGCCGAATCCTGTTGTTTTTTTTTAACCCCCCTCCCGACTCCACTACATCTAATTGACCCCCCTAATGCCCCAATCCGAATGAGACAAATGAATGAATAGAAATGTCAGACGAACAAACACACACAGAATATCGGTGTTCGTTTGCTCGTTCAGTTTATTACAAGGTGGGAGCTACTCCTTATAAAATTTAAAAATAGAAGCGGCAGGGAGCAGTCTTCCCCACCACTTCCTAAGCCCCCCATGTCCTCCCTCCCCTGTATGAGGGTCAATATGACCACCATAATAGCATAAGGGAGACTAAAAAAAAAAAAAAGGAGGGGCCTTTTTTCCTCCCCGTGAGTGCTGGGTGGGGCCCCTAAATGAGCATGGGGGGGACCTATTGTCCCCCCCCGGCACCCACCCTTGAATGGCAGGAGGGGGCCATAAAAACAATGAGGGGGACACCTATTGTCCTCCTCCCAGCCCCCACCCCTGAGCGGCGGGTGGTGGCCATAAATAATAGGGGGAGGGGGGGGGGATCTATTGTCCTCCCCCCTGAGCGGCGGCTGGGAGCCCTAAATGAAAATGTCCCCCCGCCCAAAACAAAAATTAATAAACCCCTACCTACCACGCTCACCCTAAAAATATAAAAAAAAAATGTAAAAAATAAAAACTTACCATTTTATGTCTAATTTTTTCTAAAATCTTTTTTCAGCCCCCAAAAAGGCCAAATAAAAACCATAATACCCGTGGAACTTGTAAAAAAATAAAATAAAAACCATAGCGCAAAAAAAAAAAAAAAAAAAAAAAAAAAAAAAAAAAAAAAAAAAAAAAAAAAAAAAAAAAAAAAAGGCAAACGAAAAAAAAACAAAACCCGATGCTAAAAAAATTCCATCTTCACCCGGCAGGGCGCAGACTGAGCTCCGCAGGACGGGGAAAGGCTTATAAAGCTTCCCACACCCTGCAGTTTGACTTATAACACTCTGATTGGTTGGCTTGGAATTCAACCAGAGTGCCAGTCATTTTATACAGCGTGGGAATTATTGTTATTTATGGCCCCCACCTGCCGCTTTTTAAAAAAAATTTTTTTTAACACAACAGTGTGCAGCCACAGACTGCTCACTGTTTAATATACATGCCCTTACTCGCGGCATAACGAGTGGAGTCAGAATTTACTAATACTAAATAATCTTTACTTAGTATTTGTAAATTTGGCTCAAAGACCAATTTAAGTCTTTCAGCCTTTTGGTAGATAGCTCCCTAATACTGTGCGAATAGGATCAGTTTCATTCATTTGAATGAAATTCCGATCCTAACAAAGTCCCGAATTGCGTCCTAATAATACATAGAGAAACTTTTCTCATTCTGTTAGGACGTAATTCGGTAGTTTTGCCGGCAGTGTTTGGCCTCGCACCCTTGCAGATGTTAGCCAATTATTTAATTGCTTTTAGGGGGCAAGCCACCTAAATGGTGGGTTTAGCACTATAGTGTCAGGAATACATGTTTGTGTTCCTGACCCTATAGTGTTCCTTTAAGCCCAAAATAGCCAAGTTGAAAACAGAATGGACTTAGAGATTTGTTTTTGGAGTAGATGTTGAAATTCAGTTTGAATTACTAGCAAACCACATATTAGTGAATAACCATTTTGGTTACTTGGCATCTGCATTAATACTATTGACACTTAGCAAGTATACTATAAGTGACTGCAGACCACTTTCTCTCATAACTATATGACTCCCCCAGGTATAACTTTCATCAAAATAAAGGGACTCCACTGCCCAAATACTAAATAAATATCACCGTTTATGGATCTTCAATAGACATCATTGTTGTGCTCTCGTGCCTGAGCGAGAGTACAGCACTGCGGCGGACTCCTGGCACATGAAGCACTAGGAGCACAAGAGGACCAGAAGCAGCAAGATGATGGCTGCAAAGGACAGGTTCAGATAAGTAAAACTCACTATTCCATGCAAGCGGCAAATCACAATTGGGGGTCTTTGCAAAATATTTAAATAGTACTTCCTCATTAGAGGAACAGTCTAAGCATGGTAGACATGCAAACAGAGTCTCACCGCAAGACATATACGTCTTTGATAACTGTGAAACAACCTGGCTAATATGATTGGTTACACTGTAATGAAATAGTATTTATCTTTTTTTGTATCATAATTGCATTATATCAAAGAATATATATTAAATGCCTAATTTCTTTATCATCTAGTACGGAGTGAAGTAATAAAATATCCATTCCAAAAAATAGCCTATTCAGCAACCTGAAGCACATTTAATTTTAAAATCTCAGAACACATAATGCAAGAAGGAACGCTAAGTTTAGATTGACATTTGGTATCGGTAGCTACTGAAAAGGGCAACAATGCCAGCTGGTAGAAGGGTAACTAAAACAAACACTTGCACTATAATATACACTGATGTTATGTGCTCAGGCTCCCTGTTGTAGTCTGGGTATGGGTAAGCACAGACCTATATATTTTAAATACAATGCTTCAGTAAGACATCTGGAAACGATAACACTCCCAGACTGTGAAATTCAAGCACCATATCCACTACAGCGAGCTTGAAATCCCTTAATACAGGGCTTGACAAATTTGTTTGGAATCTAGGAGCCAGCTTAACAAGTTAGGAGCCAGTCATTTTCAACGAAAAAATGCAATTCTTAAAAGGGACACTATAGTCACCAGAACCACTACAGCTTGATGTAGTTGTTCTGGTGTCTATAGCCTGTCCCTGCAGTCGTTTTAGTGTAAACACTGCCTTTTCTGTGAAAAGGCAGAATTTACATTGCTACTTAGCAACACCTCTAGTGACAGTCACTCTAGAGTCCTGGGTCACTGCTGCACCACATACAGCACCCAGGTTCAGTATCTCCAAGCTTTGCATGGAGGTGCTGAATATTCCTCGTAGAGATTAATTAATTTAATGCATCTCTATGAGGAGATGCGGATTGGTACATTTGCTGCGCATGCACAAAATCCCCGCAATGCTTTCCTAAGGGAAAGCATTGGCTTAGCTGAGATCATAAAGACTGATAATCTCAGCCATGGGGAAACTGGCACGGTGTGAGAAAATTGGGGGGAAAAAAGGTGAGCAAAAACTATCGGAGGGGGCAGGTACCTAAACACACACACACACTGACAGGCTCACATACACACTCACGCTGACAACAGGCTTGCATGCACACACTGACAGACTTACACAAACACACACAGACACACATTCTGAGAGGCTTGCACACACACATACAGACACACTGACAGGCTCTCACACACACACTCTGACAGGCTCTCTCTCTCTTTCACACACACATTTTTGTTTTAATTGAAACCCACTCAGCCTCCCTACCTTTGGGAGAGCTGAGTGGATCTTTCCTGTGGTCCAGTGGGGCTGTACTCATCCTGTGTGCGAAGGAGCAGTACTCTGCCTGTAGCTCCTCTCTGCTCCCTCGCGCTGTGTAATGATGCCGGGGCCGGAATGCCGTCATATTCCAGCTCCCGGCATCATTACACAGCGCGAGTACTGCTCCCTCGCGTGCTGTCCACAATGCTCCAGCGGGTGGCCACCTACCTCCATGCTCCTGCAGGCAGCCGCCTGCAATATTCCCTGCGACGGCCGCGAACACACTAATTAGAGAGCTGGCACATCCCAGACGCCAGGGCGAAATTTTTAGTCGCCATGGCGACCTGGCGCCTGGGATTTGTCGAGCCCTGCTTTGAATCAATGCATCCCTATGTGGAAAAGTAAAGCGTGCTGAATGTCAGTGCCCTAGTAAGCACCTCTTGTGGTCGTCTAGAGGTTTTTCTAGGCAGTTTCTCTGAAAGGCAGTGTTTATAGCAAAAATCCTGCAGGGACAGACTATACTCATCAGAACAACTACCATAAGCTATAGTTGTTATCGTGACTACTACGAGTCCCTTGAAGATCTCCTAGACACAATCTGAGTGAAAAGGTTTTTACAAGAATTTAAATTATACAGGTTAACAAACACTGCACCTATTTAACTACAACACATCTTTTATCCTAAACACTTACTTCATGGCAGCATAATAAAATGACCCAAACCAAAAGCTGGATGTCACAAGATGAACAGGAATCAGGACTTTTCCATGCTGTTTAAAAGTCTTTTTAAATCTGTGAAAAAGCCCAATGGACTTATCCTGCAAGGGATCAGAGTCTATAACCTCTTCAGGTTTAGTAGCACCATAAGGGCTTTTTGTTGTGATATCTTCTTCACTTTGATTTGGACTGGCAGTTGTAGATTTTTTTTCTTGTGGCACATCTTGCCCTGAAGTAGAATGAAGCCATTGCTTATGTTGTCCGTGCACCACTAAGATTTGACATCCAAAGCGGAGGGAGGAAGGAGGCCATATTTGTTGTCTACATGATCGAACAGAAGAAGTTAGAAGATATATATTTTTGGCATTTGGTTTCAGAAACAAAGTCCTGAACAATTGCATGCTGATAGTACACCTAGGAGTAAAAACAAACAAGAAAACAAATATAAGTAGGTGCGATGTTATCTATCATCCTAGTTTGAAACAAAGAGCCTGTAAAATTAAACACAATGTATAATGAACCACGTGGTTCATTAAAAAGTACTAGATGCAGATACGCTACACCAGGACTAATTGTCCTACACTAATAACCAGTCTCTAAACGTTACTTGTCACTGGAAGCCTGCAGTACATGAACCACTTACCAAGAATAAGTTTCCAGTCGCCAGTGAAACTTCTGAACCCTGTACTACACCTTGCACACTTATTTCCCATTATTACCTGCCTGCACCCAATAAATAAGAAATTATTGTAAGGTAAAAGATAGATGAGTAAAAAAATAGTTTTCTGTACCACATGCACTTTACTAAATGCCCTTCATTATCAGCTCTTTCCACCTAAACATCCATTTATAATCCCCTTAATGTTCTAATTTTGAATCCAACTTCCACACATGTACCCCTTCCAAAAATAATTCATATCAATAATTGTATTCACTTCTTAGACAGAACTTTCTTTCTCTCTGACAACTACCTCCACAGCATCCACATTGGCACCTCCTCTATTTATTATAGTCACCATTTGCACATTAATCCATGCTGCAAAACTCACTTCATACCAAGTGCTGCACAAAGCCTTTTGAAAATTAAGCAAGCTGAGCAATTGTGTTAAGGTGCGGTCATTTGGAGTCTGCTCCCTGGGTCTGAAAAGACTCTGGTGAGTTCTTCTTGCATGCCGCTTTGCCCATAGATCAGTGATGGGCTTTGCCAGCTGCCCAGCACCAATTACTGTATGCAGGAGATGTAGCATGAAAGGGAGATCTCCCTAAAATGCTGCAATCACACAGTAGAGAGCTCTCACAGAGCTGGGGAATTCCTCTGCTGACGCCAGAAGAGGGAATCCGTCTAAAGGTAGGATAAGGGGCTAAATTAGTGGCAAAGTTATACATGTGGGATATCACTGTAATTTAGTACAGTAGCTGAATACAGACATGGGATATTTACAGTAGTGGGGCCATCACATGTGGTCTGTAAATTTCCACAAAATAAATTATGTTAAAAAAAAATAAAATAAAAAAATAATAATAATAAAAAAATTTTTTTTTTTATTATATATATATATATATATATATATATATTTTTTTTTTTTTTTTTAAATATAACCAGGGGATTTGACAAAGGTTTGTGATACAATGGTTCAATGAAAAGTGTCAAAATTCTCTGAGTTAAACATAGAAACATAGAATGTGACGGCAGATAAGAACCATTCGGCCCATCTAGTCTGCCCAATTTTCTAAATACTTTCATTTGTCCCTAGCCTTATCTTATAGTTAGGATACCCTTATGCCTATCCCACACATGCTTAAACTCCTTTACTGTGTTAACAACGGCTGAGCCAGGTAAAATATTGGCATTTTAGAGTTTAAACCCTCTGCTGGGTGTATCTCCACCTCTGGCAGCATCATTGTGCCGTCATTAGCCTGCTTGTAATAAGAGTTCTGGGTTGGCCAATATGAATTCTGTGCATATTGGACATCTGACAACAGCACACCCAGCATGCTGGTGACAGGGGTTTAGTGGTGGTACGGCTCCTACTCTATGCCACTGATGTCCTCCAATTCATCCTAACAACCGCTAGGAGTAGTGATTTCAGTGGAGGAGGATCAGACTAAAGTGAAAACATTTGCTGGTACAGAGGTCAGTTTATGCTTTATTTTGACCCTGTGTGGAGTAGTTTGTTAAAATACTGATTTTTGGATGAAGTAACCCGTAAAGCGACACAATAAGCACAAAAAACATTTTTTGCTTAATTAAGTGATTTTGGTGTAGCGATTATACCCCTCACCTGCAATTTAGGAGTTAAATCACTTTGTTTTTGGAGCCCTAGCCCCACCCCCGGCATGTAGCCTACACAGTCTCACTGCACACTTCATGTAAAGAGAGGTCTAATGTGTAAACCTCCTTTATTGCACAGTTTGTTTAACTTAGGATTTATTATTCCCTGTTCTGTTATAGCCTTTTAGACCCTGCAGGAGCCTCCTGCTTGTGATTAAACTTTACTTTAGAACGCTGTATTTCCTGCTCTGTAAATTAAAGGATCACTATAGGGCCCGGAACACAAACATGTATTCCTGACCCTATAGTGTTAAAACCACCGTCTAGCCCCCCTGGGCCCCTCATGCCTCCATAAATATAGCAAAATCTGACTTTATTCAAACCAGATGCTGTAGATCTGCATGCTGTTTGCCTAAAAAAAACAAACAAAAAAAACAAGCAGTCTTCTGACATCATCAGAAGTGGTAGCCTGATCCAATCACAATGCTTCCCCATAGGATTGGCTGAGACTGACAAGGAGGCAGATCAGGGGCAGAGCCAGCATGATTCAAACACAGCCCTGGTCAATCAGCATCTCCTCATAGAGGAGTCTTTACCCGTGTGTCTCATTTCCTCAATTCCAACTCTCTCCTTGACCCCCTTCAATCTGGCTTCCGCCCTCTCCACTCTACAGAGACTGCCCTTATCAAAGTTACTAACGACCTAATCGCAGCTAAATCCAAAGGCCACTACTCCATACTAATTCTTCTTGACCTCTCAGCGGCCTTTGACACAGTTGATCATGCTCTCCTTCTTCAAACTCTGCAATCTCATGGTTTTCCTCTAATCTCTCCCAACGCTCATTCAGTGTCTCTTTTTCTAATGATACCTCCTCCCCTCGCCCTGTCCCCTTCTATTTTCTCTTTATACTGCCTCTCTTGGCAAACTTATTACCTCATTTGGATTCCACTACCACCTGTACGCTGATGACACCCAGCTATATCTCTCCTCCCCAGACCTCTCCCCTGCTGTCCTGCAACGTGTCACTGCTTGCTTTCTTCCATCTCTGAATGGATGTCCTCCCACTTTCTGAAACTCAATCTCTCATAAACTGAGCTCCTTGTCTTTCCTCCTCCTAATACTGATGCTCCTCTCTCGCTCTCCCTTCAAGTTTGTGGTACCAACATCAGCCCATCCTTGCAAGCGCGCTGTCTTGGCGTCATACTTGACTCTGGTCTCACCTTTGAGCCTCACATCCAGCATGTTGCCAAATCCTGTAGATTCCATCTTAAAAACATAGCCCGCATCCGCCCCTTTCTTGCACCAGATACTACCAAGGAGCTTGTCCATGCTCTAATAATTTCACGCATGGATTATTGTAACCCTCTCCTGCTTGGTCTTCCCAAAAGCCGTACTGCACCCCTACAGTCTGTAATGAACGCTGCTGCTAGACTGATTTTCCTCTCTAGTCGGTTCTCTCACACCTCACCCCTCTGCCAGCCCTTACATTGGCTTCCTGTGTGCTATAGGAGTCAATTCAAGGCACTAACTCACACCTATAAAGCACTGAACAACTCTAGCCCCTCTTATATCTCCTCACAGATCCATAGGTATGTCCCTTCTCGGTCTCTCCGCTCTGCCCATGACCACCTCCTGTCCGTTGTCCGCACCCGTACGGCCAACTCGCGCTTGCAGGACTTCTCGCGGGCGGCTCCCTTCCTATGGAATAGCCTGCCTCCCGCCATCAGACTCTCCCCTAGTCTTGCATCTTTTAAGAAGTGCCTTAAAACCCATCTCTTTAGGAAAGCTTATGGCCTCCAAGACTAACCCCTACCTCACATACCTGTCTCTTGCCCTCTCCTAAAGGGCAGCCCACCTTATTTGATTGCAAATTCCTGTCCTACTGTGTTTTATACCCCACCTCCTATAGAATCTAAGCTCGATTGAGCAGGGTCCTCTTCAACCTATTGTTCCTGTAAGTTTATTTGTAATTGTCCTATTTATAGTTAAATCCCCTCTCATAATATTGTAAAGCGCTACGGAATCTGTTGGCGCTATATAAATGGCAATAATAATAATAATAATAATAATTGAATCAATGAATCTCTATGAGGAAAGTTCAGTGTCTGCATGTAGAGGGAGGAGACACTGAATGTTTGGATGCATTTTAGGCAGCCATGGCCCAGGAAGGATCTCTAACAACTATCTGAGGAGTGGCCAGTGAAGTTATCACTAGGCTGTAATGAAAACACAGTGTTTACAGCAAAAAGACTGAATGTAATGGTTATACTCACCAGAACAAATTCAATAAGCTGTAGTTGTTCTGGGGACTACAGTGTCCCTTTAAATCACTGCAACATGTAAAATTAAAAAGGGTCATGGAGATTTCCATCCCATGCCCATTTCCACAAGTTGCTAGCAACATTTACTGGAGAGAACAAAGTCGAAAAACACTGTGCGTAAAGAAAGAGTAAAAAAATTGAAACCTCATAATAAAATGGTCAAAGGTTCCTCTCTCTACCATACAAGGCATGGATTTGTGAGTCACTCCATGAGTCCTTGCATTTGATTACATCATGAAGTTTGCAGTAAGTATACAAGACACGCCAACAGTATTAATTCCAACTGAATACTTAGATTTTGTTAAATCTCATGCATTGTTCTTTTCCAATCCTAAAATGAGTTGCAAATTTGAAAGCATCAATATCAGTTCAGGAAATTACTTGAAGATTTCAATAAAGTTCCAGGGAGATATATAATGCATTTAACCCCTTGATGCAAGAGTGTGCCGGAGGGTGGGGGAGGGTCCTTGGCACCATAACAACTTCCTTTAGATTAAGTTGTCATGGTGCCTACGACTGCCTAAACATTTAAGCTTATTTGATTCAGAATGCTAGGATCAAACGCTTACCTTCCAGGCAGTTTTGCTCAATAAAATTGTTGCATTGACAAACAGGAATGTGGGTAACAAATAATAAGCTAAAATAGGCAATTACATTAAAACATGCTTTCAATTTTTTTTTAAAACATTAAACATAAGTGGGTATACGTGTCTAGAGAGTGACATTGCCAGACCCCTGTTGAACTGTAGGTATGGGCACGCACCTTGCTTGGCAATGGGGAAACACCCCAGGTGAGTATTTCAGGAGCAGGAAGTGTAATAACCAGGCCTATGGAGGGCACAGGAGTGAAGCATGGAGCCAGGCCCGCTGAGCATGCTGCCAGACACCACTAGTACCTTGAGGGAGGTGGGTCACCGTGCCCTGTCCATTCGCTGATGACAGGGTGCGCCTGAGAGCAAAGATCAAGAAGCTACCACCCACTCCATGCACTGCGGCAACGTCATAGCCCTGCGACAGGCACACTGACCCGGAGCATGACGGGGGATGTAGTTTTATGGATGGACTTACAGTTTGTGCAGTCTCTATGCCTTAGGTTTTGCGGGAGGCAGACGATGACTCAGCCCGGGTTCTGCTAATATGACCGAGATGTGTGGGCAATGGAGCGACATCATTAACTCCCACAGAACTGGGTCATTTTACCAATAAGAGGACAGAGAAGCGTGCAGCTCCCTCTAGTTCCCGTATCTATCACTGCCTCGGGAAGGTTTCTCAGCTGAATAGCCGCTGATCCCCCCCCCGGCTTGCCGTGACCCCGATACTCTGTACACAGGGTTATAGCGGGGTATAATCCCCTATAACACGGTGAGTGCAGGTATCCCTCCGTGCCGCTGGGGGCGCTGTGGACTCTACATTGTGGAAGATGTTTACTTCCGGGATCTATGATGCGTTGCGTCGGAAACACGTGCCCAGAGAGAGGTACACAGTGATTGGAGCGTACTGTTATAGCCCAGCTAGTGTCGGTGTTTCGGAGGAGCTCTGTGCCCGTACCTGCGGTGAGTGTTTATATTCGGCTTATATGCCGTGCTCCCTGATTTCGCAGTGGTTTTGGTCATTGCAGAGGGTGTATGGAGTAGCTCTGTACTGGAGGGAAATGACTCGCACTCCAGGCCTGTGTACCCAGCCGGCAAATCTGTGTGATATGCGCCCAGTCCAGGGCTGTGTTTCCATGCATTCTGTGTCACAATATAAAAACCACCCACACGGCTCTTTAAACTGGGCATTTTCGGAGAATTGTCAAAGGAGCTCGAATTGGGAAAACTACAAACATAGGAAACTCTCTGCTGTTTGTTCAGCTTAAAGGAACACTATAGTCACCTAAATTACTTTAGCTAAATAAAGCAGTTTTAGTGTATAGATCATTCCCCTGCAATTTCACTGCTCAATTCACTGTCATTTAGGAGTTAAATCACTTTGTTTCTGTTTATGCAGCCCTAGCCACACCTCCCCTGGCTATGATTGACAGAGCCTGCATGAAAAAAAAACTGGTTTCACTTTCAAACAGATGTAATTTACCTTAAATAATTGTATCTCAATCTCTAAATTGAACTTTAATCACATACAGGAGGCTCTTGCAGTGTCTAGCAAGCTATTATCATAGTAGGGGATAAGAAAATCTTAATTAAACAGAACTTGCAATAAAGAAAGCCTAAATAGGCTCTCTTTACAGGAAGTGTTTATGGAAGGCTGTGCAAGTCACATGCAGGGAGGTGTGACTAGGGTTCATAAAGGGATTTAACTCCTAAATGGCAGAGGATTGAGCAGTGAGGCTGCAGGGGCATGTTCTATACACCAAAACTGCTTCATTAAGCTAAAGTTGTTCAGGTGACTATAGTGTCCCTTTTAATTATCTGAATTATCTCCGTTTCAATTTCCTTTATTAGTTCTACGTAGTTTCATGTTTAGGGAACCACAACAACACTGACCGTGATTAACAAATGTACTTACAAAATAATGGGCAGATCAATTGATCGTGTGGTCATGGGTTACTCATTTATTTCAGAGACTGAATTCTGGTTAACCACTGCTTTTAAAAGGCTTGTTACAAAATATATCCTTCAGGAAGCAATGATGTTAATATATATCTTGTGTGTCCATTTGTTGTGGACTAGTGATGTCGCGAACTTCCCGCGAACAGTTCGTGGCGAACTGTTCACTAGTCCACAACAAAAGGGAAGTTTGCGAACGGTTCGCGACATCTCTATTGTGGACTACATCTCCATTGATGCTTTACAATCACTATGGCTGCAAGTGCATTATGTGAGATGTAGTCCATGACATCTGGAGTACCGAAAGTTGACTACCTCTGTTGTACAGTACTTATACTGCAAATATATATATATATATATATATATATATATATATATATATATATATATATATATATATTATTACAGAATCCAGCGCACTCGCTTATTCACTAAACAATGCTTTCAAAATCTTAGAGATTGTAATAGTTTTATTTAAAAACACCTCACCTAGGCAAAAAATAATGGGGGTTTAGTTACATTATATGAGCATATATTGCATAAGCCTGCCACAACGTCAATGTACCCCATTCCATGATCATATAATGTAACTAAACCCCCATTATTTTTTGCCTAGGTGAGGTGTTTTTAAATAAAACTATTACAATCTCTAAGATTTTGAAAGCATTGTTTAGTGAATAAGCGAGTGCGCTGGATTCTGTATTTTTCTATATATTTTGGCCCCAGCAGCACCCTGTAATGTATGCATGTTCAGGTGAGTGCAGCCCTCTTGGTTTTGTATATGTGTGTGTATATATATATATATATATATATATATATATATATATATATATATATATATATATATATATATATATATATATATATATAATTTTTTCCATGTGTGTGCCAAATGCTAATGTGTGTAAGGTAACTTAAAATTTACTTATTATTGGTATTTCTATAGCGCCAACTAATTTCGCAGTGCTTTACAAAAAAATTAGACATTGTTCCTGTTTCACTGTGTAATTAAGTAGGTTAAGGCCCTGCTTAAACAAGCATATAGTCTATGCTAGAAACTTGCACTAAAACCTCAGTTTCTCATGTGTATTTTTTTTCTACTCAAATACTGAAACATAAATGTGTGAGAGCTACACGCACTAAAGGTGAACTAGTATGGTTATTCACTAAAGAATTAATTTTCAGCAATACAAATTTAAGTTAATTTAAGCTAAAGATTTAGGTTAAAATATCTGAAATGTAGTTTTTTGTTTTTTTCCATCTTAATTTTCTTTTCTTTTTTTTTCTTTTTTTTTTGTTCTGTTCTTTTTGCCTAAAATTTGAAATTCTCATTGAATTAACTTAAAATGCATGTCAATTTAAAAAAAAAAAAAAAACCAAACAAAAAACTGCAAATTCTATAACTGCAGTATTTTACATTGAAGAGCTAAGGGGGACAAGAACGCTGCACTCAGGCCACTTCAATGAGATGAACTGGTCTTGGTGCCTATTACATCCCTTAAAGGGGTCTAAGCTATATGACAACCTTTATAATTGGTCTTCTGCTTAGGAGCATCATTGAAGCGCAGAGGGAGTGCAGTGCCCTGCTGAATTACCACTCTCAAATCACTAATCAGCAAATGGAATTTGTTCATTAAAGCGTTGCAAAATAATTTTCTTTAAGAATTGGTTCCAGGCATGGTACATACAAAAAGTATTGTTGCATCGGTATATCATTTTATTTTTTCTCATTTTGCAGAAAGTGGTGATGACGCATTTCAAATTATAATCCATCAACACAGACTTTAATTATGGATAAGACCGGATCAGTTACAGAAAGTCAGCAGCAGACACACCTAGAATCAAATAATGGAGGTAATGGCCTTCAAATCTCTGAAAGTGAAACATCAAGCAGACCTCCAGTTAATGGTGGAAACTTGCCACTGAAGAGGACACGTGATGATGATTTAGACTATCCAACGAAAAGACTGGTATGTACTTAATGTATTGTATACTGATATTTAAAACTTTCTTCCTGCTTTAAGAATTCCTTAAAATACACACATGCTTGTGCTGCCAAGTGTTTATTATTATTATTATTATGATTTATATTCATTTTAGGTGTAGACATGCAAGCACAAAAAGTATGGTTAGTAAAATGTTCGCAAAAGTCTTCAAAGTTTACATTTTGTTTGCTGTACTCAACAATGTTTAACAAAAATAAGATATACAAGGAAGTCAAAATGTAAAATCTCTTCATTCTAAATAAAAAAAAAAACAAAAAACCTAAGTTTATTTGCAAATGTAACGAGTACAGCATCAAGACTGTTTGGAGTTATATGTTTGGTGCTTAAGGTATATTCTCGTTATTCTCAGGTGATGCACTAAAACTTATGTTCACACCTCAAGTAGTAGAAGGTTGGTTATATTGGAATGATTAAGTGCTTGTACCCTTAACTGTAAAGTACGATCTGATGATCAGATTTTTAAAGTGAAACTATAGCGCCAGTAAAACAAAGTTGTCCGTTCTTCTTTTTAAAGGGCATCTTGACTTCGTTTATGTATATAGGTTAGTTTAATCAATTGAGTCTCAAAAATCTTAGGAAACTTCTATTTAGAAAAAAATCTAAAATACCTATAGATAAGTGGTTCGGGTTGATTATATATCTCTGTGGATGGCTAAACCTATTCTTCCCTTGAACAATTTGATAAGTTACTTTTGACCGTTTCGCAGACCGTTTTTCAATTTTCTTACCATTATGGACCAGGGCTCTTTTTACATTTCTGCAGTGTTTGTGTTTAGCTGTAATTTTCCTCTTACACATTTAATGTACCCACACATATTATATACCGTTTTTCTCTCCATTAAATTTTATTATAACACTTTTTATTAAGTATGATGAAAACATTTAAAAAAAAAAACACACACTTTTTTTGAACTTTGACCCCCCCCAAATCTGTTGTGCAACTACAACCGCCAAAAAATACCTGTGCTAAAAAGTTTATAAATTTTGTCCTGAGTTTAGTATTTGCTCAATGTTAACATGTTCTTAGCATTTTTTTTGGAAAGTTATAGAGCTATAAGCACATTGCTATTTCCAAACCATTTTTCATTTTATTTTTACATTGTAACACTATCTGTCAGGAATCCCTGAATTACCCTTCACATGTATCTTATTTTTTTAAATAAGACAACCTAAGGTATTAAACTTGGGGTATTTTGACTTTCTTTGTGCTCTTTTATGCAACCATTTTATCACCAATCTATGCCAAATTTAAAAAAAAAAAAAATTTTTTTTTTTTTTTTGACCCATAGCAATTTAAGAATACATGTACTTAGAGTTTTAAGGGTTACTGCCAAAGAACACACCCATATGTGTTGAGCAACATCTCCTGAGTAGCATGATACCAGCTATGCATAGGCTTGTTTGGGGGGGTGCAATGCCAAACTTCTGACATGTGTTTTTCTAATTTGACATATCTTCTTTGTCTATCTTTTTTTTACGGGCTTTTTTAGATATCCCAATTTAACATTAACATGCATATATTTGACAAGTTGACACCCTACGGTATTGTATATCAAGTGTTTTGATGCCTTTGATGAAACCGTGTTAGTAAAAAAATTGGAGAAAATGTGTGGTGTTAATTTTTCAATTTTCATTTTTACACACAGATTTGTGTGTGATTTAGGGGAGCGTGCTGTTGGTTATTGCAAGAAAACACTCCACTGTAAAATAAGAATTGAAAATCCTAAACGTACCAGGAGATGATTTGCAGAAAATAGAAAATAGAAAAATCAATTCGTAAAATGCTGCTAAAACAGATATGATCTATCTATTGCAGCTAAAAGAACAGTGCATATATAAAATAGCATATATCACACTCTTATAGAAAGTCAGATCTCAAACACTGAATGCAAAGTGTCCAGGAAAAATGCTGCCCATTACTGGGAATTGGGGTACACTAAAAAGTGAAAAATAAAGTTAAATATAAACAATGCAGGCAGAAAAAGGGAGAGTAAAA